TTACTCATGTAACTATTTGACGGGGAACTCGACTAGTTTCGAACCATGCTAGAGGCTCATATTCATGAGCGACAGTTACGTGAGTAAGCCGAAAACATAATCATTAATTGAGATTTTTATTACACTTAGGCATATGATGAATGTAGATTTTTTTGTAGACTAGTTAGTTTTTTTTATTTAGTTTACATTTTATACAGACATAGATTCGTTTACATTACATACTATTAATAATTTATCAATAAAAAAAATCTTAGATAATTAATTTAGTATGTCTGTCTATAAAATTATAATCTGTTTAACGATTTGACTGTTGAGATTAAATCCTTCGCTAACACTAGTAACCATTAACCATTGTATGTCGTTCAGCATGTACTTATACTACTACTATTATTACTTATATATTACTTACTTAGAATAAAATAGACTACACACGCGCAATGTGGTTAAAACGATTTTTTTCTTATACATATCAACTACGTAAATAGAATCTGACAAATCATTCAAAAACTAATTATTAGTTTGATGTATTTAAGTTTTTGTTGCTATCACTAATTACATAATTACTAAGCACCCAACTAAACCTTTATAATGACGTAAGTGAGTAATGACATCAGACGGCAGCTGGTTCAACTCCTAACTTGTTACATTTAATTTTAACTTCAAATGGTTATCGTCAAGGTTATCATACACACTATATGGGAATGAATCACTATGGTATAGTTACTATGTGAACACAGTGAGTATGAACTTTTTAATTTTATTTCTAGGTCTGTACCAAAGACCTATCACTTGTCGCGAAGAACCTAACGGGTTACCGGCTCCGGCTCGATGTGCAGGAGAAGGAACGGGGTGGTTTTTAGTCAGTACGAGTCTGACACTCCCTTCCGCCTCACCCAGGCGGGAGCAGACATTCGATGATTTTCCCCTTAAAAAAAGACCTAGCACTTAGAGTTTCATCACATCAACAGCCTATAAGTGGACACTGCTGCACGAGGGCCTCTCCTCGCACGGAGAAGGTTTGGGCATTAAACACTACGCTTGCTCAATGCGGTTCAAACTTATCATTAGAAGTTATAAGCCCAGGTTTCCTCACGATGTTTTCCTTCACCGTTTCTCAGTGGTGTCTAAATAATCTTAGAGAGTACATATAAGTTTGAAAACGCCAACCCCCTTTTTGCAAGCGTGGTGATTAATGCTCAAACCTTTTCCGTGTGAGAAGAGGCTTTGTTCAGCATTTATAGACAGTTGATGTAAACATGAAGTTACTACATTTTCTCTCTCATAAGGAAGTGATCCATAGCACAATTTAAGCTATGTAATATTATATAGATGCTCTGTTAATATTATTAATACACGAGTAATATAGTAGATACAGAATATTAAAAAAAAAACAATATTGCCCATTCATTCGAAAAAAGACAAGCGTCATATATTTTATTTATGTGAATACCTATTTGATATGAATGAATCATCAAGCAAAAAATGGTATTAGATTAATTCCAAATTTTGTTTCGGTTATAATAACAATTTTGGCATAGGCACGACTGATTTTAACAACCCATATTTTATTTAAAAACTTAATTTGGACTTCAAGTTCAAGAGTTGGTTGGCCTTGTATGTTCGGTAGCTTAGCGTACTTAGCCGTTCATCTCGACGACTCTTCATGCAATCTGCCTTTTTACCGACTTCATTTTAAGAGGTGAAAATCATCCTATGACCGCCTCACCCAGGCGGGAGCAGACATTCGAAAAAAACTAATACAATATCAACAAATCGAGTTTGCCAATCGAGCCAGTAACTAAACGTCAATTCTAAAAGTTTTTTTTTTCAAAAATAAATCAAAATATAACAATTTCGAAAAAAAAATGAATGAACTATTTTTAATTAAATTAAGTTCGTTGAACGTTTTGAACAGCTTTTATTAATGAGACCTCCTATTGTTTTATTGCTGTTTCAATTAAATTATTTGACATTCTCTAATGCCAAACGTGTTTTGAGATCGTTTTGTAATATGTTCCATTAATGGTCAGACAAGATCCTGTTTCAATCAGTAAAAAAATGTGGATATGTTTCAAATACGAACTAAAAATTCACACACTTTAACACATTGCCCGTGCCACGTGTCGCAGAGAACCTAATGGGTTACCGGGGCTCCGGCTCGAAGCGCAGGAGAAGGAACGTGGTGGTTTTTAGTCAGTAAGAGCCTGATACTCCCTCCCGCCTGACCTAGGCGGGAGCAGTCATTCGATGATTTTCCTCCCTTAAAAAAAACCCGTGCCACCTGGGACAAAACTGTCTTGGAATGGAGACTCTGATGTGAAAATAGACATCTATAGAGATATAAGAGAGAGACTCCTCGATCGGATAAATTGATTAGGATAAAATTGCACAAGACCAAGTTGGATATCATAGTTTTAGAAACCATTTTTTTTATGTCGGGGGGAACCTTTTAAAGGCGGCAAGCTTTTTGGGGAGTGTAGGATTCGTACCTCACTAGAAGCACCCACCAACGGTGGCCACACCACATCCATAGGGAGACGTGCGCGTCCCTTAATCATCACAGTTTAACTAAGTTTACTAAAGTTTTATGTCTTATTGTATTGAACTTAATAATGTCATCATTTTGTTATCTGAACTAGTAGACCTAGTAAATACTGACCCCTTCATTCCTTCAACCATAATCATCATTGGCCGGTCTATACTATTGGACTAACGCCTCTAAGAGGCAATGTATCATACATAATCCTCACGCGTGATAGGTGGTTTGGAGAATGCAGTACCTAAGTTCAAAGTATGTTGCTGCTGCCCAATTCTAGGTGGCTACTCTCGGGTCCATTAGTGTGGGAGAGCCATGCTTCGGCACGAATGGGCCGGTTCGACCGGATTGATACCACGGCCTCATAGAAAACCGACGTGAAACAACGCTTGCGTTGTATTTCGTCGTGTGCGTGAGGTTACCGGAGGCCTAATTACCCCCTTCCTAGTCTCCCGAATCCACAAATCCTCCACAATCCTCAAATTCCAAATTCCCTAAAGGCCCTTGATGTTTCGAGTGTCCATAGGCGGCGCCGATTGCTTACCATCAGGTGATCCATCTGCTCGATTATCAGATTTTGCTCTAAAACAAAACTGTACTCAGGCTTTGTAAAACTTTTGAAATCTACCTACTAAGCAGGTACTTTTAGATTTTGATAGTAAAGACTTCAACATAGCGAAAGTCGTAAATAACACATTGTGGGTATCGAAACGAATCGAATCAATCTTTTTTATTGCTAAATTTTGATTTCGCAACTTAATTACATTGCCACAATTTATAAAAGAACGTTTTGTAATTATACTTGACATGTTTATTAGTGTTAATTATTATTTTACATTAATATTGGAAAGATTAAGTATGCTCTCAATTGCTTTATTGGTGGTCGCTAGACTGACGATTCACAGTCAGCTTCGGCATGAATGGACCGGCTCGGAGACGGCCTCACTTACGGCCCACGGCCTCACAGAAAACTGAAGTAAAACAACGCTTGCGTTGTGTTTCTTCGTGTGAGTGCGGTTATTGGAGGCCCAATCACGCCCCCCCCCCCTTTTCACCAATCTTCGCCTGAATCCCCAACAGTTCTCAAATTCCTAATCCCCAAAAGGCCGGTAACGCACTTGTAACGTCTCTGGTGTTTCAAATGTCCATGCGCGATGCCGATTGCTTACCATCATACCATCAGGTGCTCCATATGCTGGTTCACCGGCTTATCCCATTAAAAAAGTATAAGCATTTATTTCAACGACTTAGTTACCATCGTCAACTTTATAGCTATCTTGTACATGGCATTAGCCCTGGTTGTCATATCAACTACTTAGATATTCCGTGACTTCTACCTACGTAGAAGTCATGTTCTGTTCATGTGAAAATTATACGTATATTCCTACGAATATGCGTATAATTTCAGTAGGTTGCTTTTTGGAGATGATTAAAACTATGCAAATAAGTGTCATCATAATTTATTAATTAATTATATTATAAAAATACGAATGTACATATAAAGTACTTCACTTAATTACATCTGAGCAAGAAGTAATAAACTATTTAGTAGAGTCTGCGTTACATAACTAAAGGTTTAGCAACATTTTATAACAGTTTTCATGTAATTTAATTATAACAGTCCAGTTTTATTTAATTTATCATGAACAATTTCAACAAATAATTGTTTGTATAACCAACTATTATTATTTTAAAATTAAAACTAACAATGAAACCATCTATTTACAATGTTTTATAAAATAAAATCTTAAATTAAAAATCACGATTATCAATATAACTGCTTACTGCCCGACAATAATATAAAACTAACATTCTCAATAATTAAATTATAAAATAACTAAATAATAAATAACAGCTGTTATAAGAACCAGTCAATTCTTAATTTATTTTTAAAATTATGCTCTTATTATTATAAAATTATTTTAAAAATATTACAAATCAGCATTGATGGGTTCAAACAAAAGATAATCACACTGACATTTGTTTTGTCCGCCGACGACATACAACAATAAAACGAGAAAATAAAAATTATTGCCTAAATATTTCTTCAATAAACTAATTTTTTAAAATTTGGAGGTAAACAAAACACTGCACAAACAAACCTTATGAGATCTTTACGAAAACCAAATCCACGTTGCGAATACGTACAAACATACCTCTAGAAATTTTACAATCTGTATAATCGAAACTTGGACTAATAATACTTCTCATTAAAGTTAATCTAAAATTAGGTACAAATACAATTTCATAATATCTTAAATCTCTCTAAAAATGCACCTATACAATTATTAGAACCACTGCCTAGAGAATACATGCGTCATGCACAAAATACTCTTCTTACTATGTAGCTAAACAAAATAAGGCAACACGTCTCTACAGGCTAACATTTAACCTAATATAATTCTAAGCAATCTCATTTGCATACAGTAACTCTTCAAAGACAGTGGCGCTAGTCAACATTTCATCAACGTCTCATGATGTCTTCTATACTGAATCCTTTCTTCGGTCCTGTCGACGAGCTCGTTCCAGGCTTCGGATTAGCCGGTGGTTGTATCCCAACAATGTTCTTTATTCCACTTGTTATAAAGCTCGAACTGCCTTCTTCAAGGTCTTTCTGACCATCCTTACAATTGGTGACATGTGTGGAAGTGCCAGGAGTTGTGTCTTTAGGAGGCGCGTGTTTAACTATTAAATCTTGTGCCACCGTTTGCTGTGGTCCTAATATTGGGTGAGGAACTGCACCGTATGCCATTTGGGGGTGAGGCGGAGGCATGGGCAAGCCAAACTTGTGATAAGATGGCATTCCCAACATGGATGGTGGAGTCCAACTACAACTTCTCCATTTCCCATCGATTGCCGAGGCATTGTTAAGTTAGTAGGCTCCGGCGATCGGCTTCGATAAACTGCTGCACAAGTTCTTACGTTGTCTCCAATGTCAGGTGGATGGCTTCTCTTTCTAAATGGACTCAAGTACATGCCTGAAGGCCCAGGATCTATAGGAGGACTGGCCATTTGACTCATTTTATTGGGATCGGGAGGTGCAACTTGATGAAGGTCTCTGCGTATTTGTAGCTGAGGATGTCTGATCTGTGGTTCAGGAGGCTCATTGTATCTCATCTCTTTTTCTATAATCTCATCCGAAGTATACCGCCGTTTTTCATACAAGTCGGAAGGCATACGCATGTGTTTCTCTTGATGTTGAGGCCGCATAGTGTAAGGGCTTGCTCTATCTCTCTGCTCATTATGGTGGCAGTGGGTCCGTTCCACTGGAGATGGTGACGTTCGTCGTGGAGGTCGTTCTTCACTTTGCTCTCTTCCGATACTTTCGATGGAAGAGGACCGCGCTCGTCTTACAGGGGAATGCTCTGGTGATGACAAATCAGGATCTTCATCATCAAATCCAGGTTCTATTGGAGATCCAGGTCTACCAATATCTTCTTCACCTACATCTAAAACATCACCTGGTGGAACATCACCAACAGCATGTGTCAAGGCGTGTCTCTCAGGTCACAGTTCCGTCTGAATACTTTTCCACAAGAATTGCACTCGTAAGGTTTATGATCCGTGTGAGTTAGCAAATGAGTCTTGAGGTTTGACCGTTGATTGAAACTCCGACTGCAAACTGGACATTTGTGAGGCGATTCTTCCATGTGAAGGATTTTGTGAACCGCCAGGGTCCTTGACTGGCAGAATCCTTTCCCGCATTCTGTACACTTGAACGGCTTCTCCTTTGAGTGAATGTACCTGTAACAAAGAAAGTAAAATTAAATGCTTGTGCTATATTTAATTTTGCATCTGGATAAGAATGTTCCTTGAGAATGTTTTAATGATTCGAACCATAAAATATCGTGGTTTAATTAAATGTCGGTGTAGAGGCGGAGTGAATTTGAACACAAGTTTCGCTGATAATACGAAACGTGGATTATTTATGGTACATAACAATGTAGGTATCCGAAACGGGTTTTGATTGGATTTGGAGGCGTTCATTCATTAAGAGAGGAACGACCTTTTGTCGTCTGCAGTATTTCATTGTCCGCTGCTAAAGTAAGTAGATGTCATTTGAGATAATACAATAACTGTACTCCACACTATTCTATACAGTATAATAGTAAAATTTTAATGTCGGCAACCACTATACTGTTCAGTGTTCAGACGCGCCTTGAACGTGATCCGAGTAACATGAGCCTTTAGTCTCAAGGCGAGCTCAGCGACATCGCATGCGCTCAGTACGTACAGCCTCACCATTTTTTGAAGACCTCCGCTAAATCTTTTCACTTCCCCGTTTGGTTAATGGATCACAAACGTGGAGGGGAATGGGAAGGCCAAGTTTCGTTGGTTCCGTTCCACAAGAGTTCCAGTCCAACCGAATCGAATTACGTTAAAAGCATTTTGTGGCCAATCGCTGCGATTAATATTATTAACAGCGGCGATATTGAATAACTAGTGACCATCTGCTTTATAGCTTGTAGGTAGGCGAGCGATGTGAAAACAGTGTTTTATATACGTGGCTTACCGCCGAGCTCAATTACATTTTCTATTAGGTGTATATTAATAAAACCTGTCGTTATTTATTGTGAATGGCTTGCTATACGTCATTGAGACTAACTTAGCTACGCTAAGTTAAAATAATAGGTCCAAGTGTTATTAAGTAATAGGTTCAGAATAGATACTTTTGAACTTCTGGATTTACCTACAATTATATTAGGTATTGTAAGTTGTTTCTTGTAATTAGTTACTAATTTCACACTATAAGTTCTTAGGTTATAGAATGATCAAATAACTTGCTGTTTTACGTTACCCTTTTGTATAATTTACCGTTTTACTAAAATGCTTTTTCTTACATCACTTTTATAATTGCATGCCGATATTTTTTATTTGAGGAAACACCCATCCGAGGTCGGTATAAGAATTGATAAAGGAAGTATTGAGAACTTCGTGTAATCATGTTAATAACATGCTTGTGTTCTGCCATGTTTCTTAAAACGGAACGATGGCAAAAACTTGATTCGTTAAAGTAAGGTAAACTTGAACTTGCATTTTTAATAGTTATTCAACAAAAAACATAACAAAAAAATAAAATGCATGAACAAAATGAAGGATTTTGTAAAGTGTAGACGATTGTCAATTGTTGTGAATACAGAAGTAATCACGACTATTTCGTTGGAGGTAATAGACGTAAAATATTTGTGTACTGAGTAAAATAATACATTTTAACAATTTTTTTTGACTAATCAAGAACATTAGAAGCGAAATTACTTCATAATTAAGATATTTATCGACTACAGCTTTTGTATATCTATAATTTTGATTTCAAAATTGAATACGTTTTTAGTTCATAAATGTGTTATCTATATGACAGGATGTAATATTTTTGTGTATCTGTTATTAATACAAGCCTTCATTTACAATTTAAACACAAAACGAAATAATATCCAATATGGCGGTGTGCCCTGCGGCTGCGCCACACGCTAGCATACCTATACAACAAACTGTACTTACATAAAAAATATCTGTAGTATTTACTCATAACTGAATATTAGTGCCAGAAGTACCATCAATTTAATTTAAGTGCACTTACAAATACTCGTTCCAAGTATTTCTTAGTTCAATGACTCGATAGTAATCTTAAAAATGGAGCCTGAAACGCTTAAAAGAATTAGCCACGATGATATTACAAAAAACAATCTAGCTAATGATAGTGACACAGAGTCCATAGACCTAGTTAATCATGAGAAACTTGATAAAAAACTAAATGAAGAATAGAACGAGCGTGGTCCATTTAATGATGATGACTCCAAAAATTCTTTGGCTTGTCATGCAAAGAATGCGTTGTGAAGATGCGTAGTTACATAAGGTAATAACCGGTTGAATGTAAGTAAAGATGACAGAAAGTCTCAGAAAGAATGTCAAAATGATAGATGAGTGATTGCTGGAAGCCATGATGGTGACCAAATTGTTGATGGTAAAACAAATATTATTGGAAAAATTTAAGACATTTGCGTTTGCGATTTTGATAAGTAAACTAGTAACAACTAAAATTAATAAACTAGTATCATAGCTAGCCAAGCTTTTTGTAGGTTTTCGAAGTAAGTTTGAACTAAATGAGTACAATTCATGTAATAAAATTTTCCCTGCATACAAATGTGAAGATAAAGATGTCGTAAATATTTTAGTGTCATCTAATGCTATTTGTAATGCTTAGCCTACTCAAGTAGGCAAATGTAATAAACATATATTATTATTATTACCATAAGCATTAGGTTGGTGATCGATAAGTATCTAAATAAATCGATAAAATTGCGTCTGTATCGTAATCGAAATCTTTTATCTTTATGCAGCGATTATCATTTCTATATATGCTTTCGAGTGGCCGCGCCAGTGAAATATTGTTATATTCAAAATTTAATTCCGAGTTGATAGAAATCGATTCCATCAAATCCGTTTGGATGGTTATCTAAATATCTCTAAAATCATAAAATTCTGTCCGATGTCTGTCCTGGTCGAGGTATACATTGATAAATTGTTTGTAAAGAATAAATTTGCATTAAAATATAAAGAAATAACAGGATTCCATTTTTAGACTTTTCTCCAAGCATGTATCATGGTTCTCCAAGAAATTTGTATCAATTTTAAACTCACTTCTGTCACTTCGTTCCCTCCAGCTGCAGTGCACAATGACGCGTTCCCTTACAAAGTAGGAGCACATTGTAAGTTTGTAATACAATTGTACATGCGGATCTCTAAAAAGGAGTAACGACCCACACTGCCAATTACACGGATTGTGCACGCATTTTACTTTGCTCTTGTGTTCGCACATACAATTCGTAGAAACACAAAAACTTCAGTTTTTATTTCTCAAATTCTCATATAACTAAATGTTACAAACGAGAATTATTTTAAGTTTGACACTGGACCGTCAAATTTTATTTTCGCAGCTGTAGTCTAGATTAATGACAGAGATTATGATCTGCTACAAAAGCTTCCTATTTTGGTTATGTCTAAAATAATGAGAGAATTGTCTAAAGTAGCTGACTTTATTTTAGTCGCTTTTGTCTAAGCTAAAGATAAACAAACTTATCAAAGAATAGACATATTGTATTCATTGTGGATGCCCCTTTTTGGCATCAAATTAGTTAATTGCTTCAAGTAAAGTTGCGTCAAAACTCTAGTTATGAAACATTGATTTAGAAAATTGATCAATCAAAAATCTCATTTGCTATTTTATCCATTCCAATATTTATGAGAATCGATTTCCGTATATATAATTAAAGTTGACCTTACTAAAATTTTATCGATGATTTATACGCTATTCTACAAAAACGGATGTTTTATGTAAAAAATTCAAGGGTTTGCCTATATCAAGGACAAGGACTGTTTAAATTGCCGAGTTGGAACCTTGCAATTTCTTATACCTAGTACCTTGTATTAGAACCCCAAAGAGCATGAAGATTGATAAAACAAATTATTTTATGTACACAAGTTTCTTATTGATAATATAACTGAGTGTCATAATAAGGATGTCAGAGAATCAAGAAGCCAAGTAAAATCTTTCACAAAGGTAAATAATAATTTCCTACTTTGAGCATTGACACAAACTAAAAAAACTCTACCAATTTATAATATTAACATCCATTGTGATATCAATACACATTGACACTACAATGAACAAGAAGTTTTACGAAACGGACATTGATTTCGCTTCTATCACATTGAAATCTAACACTACAATCATGAACTACTCAGATTACTTCAGTACAATACACTTCACCACGCAATGCCACGTCAATAATATCACCTCCATTTTTTCTAACAGGTGAAGCAGAATGCCATGTGACAACATTAAAAATGTCAACATTACGTGTGTCGGCACAGCTCAAAGAGACAAGGTAAGTACGGGGACAGGGGTAAAGAGTGAGCTTATTGCCTGTCACAAATTGTGCATAAATACTTATGGCTTGTAAGTAACTTAACTTGTTAAGGATAGGAAATACCATGGACAGCTAACTGAATGCCCCATTGGTAGATTTGTGAAATGCTAAGTGCTGCACTGTTGTGTGTATTTCGAAATTATGTGTCATCTGTAGTGATGTTGCAGTACCTCTATATTCACCGACCATGACATAAATCGAATTGCGGTCTATGTCTTGTGGAAAAAAAAACGATTGTTGGTTTTAAGGACTAGATGTTCAGTTAAATTAATATTTGTTAAAGATAGTAAAGGCTGTAACAAAAGTAACCTATAAATATGACAGTTTTATAAATTCTAAAGAGAAAGTAAAGAACTAACGAACAAATTCATGAATGAATAAGAATGGAAGGGCGCGAACCTGCTCGCGTCACGCAAATATTGTGTAGTGACTGACGGACAGACCGGTTTCAATGTACACACAAGCTAGTCCAAACACCCACGTTGGTTATTAAGATTTTGAATTATTATTAGATAATGGATGGACCTTCTAAACTTTATGATAGATTTATGTACTGGGTTGGGATGAGGATAAAAAATAATAGAATACTCGAGGTACATAATAAAGTTTTGGATTCAAATTGCTTTGGTATTAGTAAAGGACATAGTAATTAGTACGAAGATTAATAGCTTCAAAACATAAGGGAAGGCTCTAATAGTTACAATAAAAGGTATATTGAATACATCCATACCAAATACGGTTGTTACGTTGTGTTTACGATGGGAGAATCGTACAGTGTAATCCATAAAAACATAGAACATAACATCGATAGACGTA